GGGTTTGGTTTAAAATAGTTGGCCAAGGCAGCCTTCTGGGATTTTTTCCAAATTCTTCATTGGGTGTTTTCTCGTGACATTTCAGATGGTCTCTCACCCATCAAAGAGCTAAATAGCTATGACACGGCTTGGACTTTTCTAGATCAACTGAGGTTAGTTGGCTGATGCAGCAAAGAAAACGCTATTGGACAGAATATTCTTGGATTAGCCTAATTAGCACCATCTTAAATTGTCTTAAACAGAAGCAGTAGCTCATCAACTCCGCAACTCAGGGAAACGGTTCTTCCAGTAAATGGATGTGCAATACTCTTCTTTCTGTAGAAAAAGTTCTTGATCTGGAAAAGAAGGTCCTGATCTCACCTCTTTACAATAGCTTGCATGCAAAACATAGACCTCCACATCAGTAGTGGGATTCAAAATTTTTTACAACTGGTTATGTGGGCATGGCTTGGTGGGTGTGGTGTGGCTTGGTGGGCATGGCTTGGTGGGCATGGTGTGCTTGGTGGGTGTGGCAGGGGAAGAATACTGTAAACTCTCCATTCCCACCCCACTCCAGGGGGAAGGCAAAATCCCATTCCCTCCCCACCCCACTAACCTGCTTTCCAGCTCCATTCTCCTGTGCTGGGCAACAAAAGAAGACCCAGCCAATCAGACTTAGAGAATAGATGAAGGCGGGACCAGTCAGAGATGGTATTTGCCGGTTCTCCAAACTACTCAAAATTTCCACTACGAGTTCTCCAGAACCAGTCAGAACCTGCTGAATACCACCTCTGTTCCAGATCTCTCTGTTTCCCCTCTCTGTTTGTTCCATCTGTCACTTTTATTTTTTGCCAGTTATCTACATACCTAATGCTCCTTCCTCCTATTTTCCCCTCAACAACAGCCCTGTAAAGTAGGTTGGGCAGTGGCTGATTAAGGCTCACTGGTGCCCTAAGCACTGACAAATCTTGGTGCCCCATTAGGAATTGATAGTCACCTAACAGTTGGGTTGGAAATATATAAACCAGGATAGACGTTTAATACTGTCTCTTTAAGGGAATGCTAAAATTGTAATTGGGTGTGGTTCCTCAAAACGGCCATAAAATGGAGCCAGAAACCTGGGTTGTTAGTTCTGTTGTTGTTAGTTGCTAATTGTTCTGATGTTCGATGTTCTTGGTTCCTGCCTTTTTCCCTATTGACTGTTGCTGATCGTCGTTCTTCTTGGATTGCTGTAAGTCTGTTACTGAACTGTTTATGATACTGAACTTTGTTATTTGGATTATCCCTGAACTGAAAACTGACTGCTTTAACCGTGAATGACTTGGACTGTTTGTTGGACTTTGTTTAACCGTTTACTGGAAGTAAAACCTACATTTTACTATTTAGTGTATCTGTGTGCTGGTCGTGTGTTATTCCTCACCACTTTCACTACGTCTCCCTGTGTGCACTCATTCTCCTAACGGGGAATTACCTTAACACCCCCGTTTTGTACATACTGTACAAATGAAGCCATTTTCTCAACTTTGTGGTGCCCCCCTTGGTGCCCTTAGTGCATGCTTAGTCTGCTTAATGGTTAATACACGATTGAGGTTGAGTGTGAGAGAGTGACTGGCCAAAGAATAAATGGGAGTGGGGCCAGTCAGAGGTGTATTTGCCGGTTCTCTGAACTACTCAAAATTTCTGCTACTGGTTCTCTGGAACTGCTCAGAACCTGCTGAATACCACCTCTGCTCCACATTCTCTGCACAGCCATCCAAGAAGCCAGCAGAACCATCCAGGAGGCCACAAGGCTGTTCCAGGATAAGAAGCACCCAGTAGTAGGGTGCTTCATCTTGGACCATCCAAGGTACAAGATCTACAACACCAGTCAACTCCCCCTCCTCCAAAAATAAAACAAAAAACTTATTATGTACAGCTAGTCCTTTACTTATGATCATAATTGAGTCCTACATTTCTGTGGCTAAATCAGACATTTGTTAAGTACATTTTGCCCCGTTTTATTATCTTTCTTGCCCCAGTTGTTAAGTGAATCACTGCAGTTGTTAAATTACTAAGTCGTTGATTAAGTTAATCTGGCTTCTCCATTGCCTTTGCTTGTCAGAAGGTCACAAAAGGTGATCACATGACACATACTCCCAGGACACTGCAACCGTCGTAAATATGAGTCAGTTTGCCAAGTGACTGGATTTTGATCATGTGACCATAGAGATGTGGAAACAGTCGCAAGCATGAAAAAGTTTTTTTTTCAGTGTGATTGTAACTTTGAATGGTCACGAAATGAACTGTTGTAAGTTGAGGACTACACCTGTAAAAGTTGACCCTCATCATCGTAAGAAAAGATGCATTTGTTCATTAATGACAAACAGTGGCCTGTGAGAAGAACACTCTGTGTAACATGCAAAAAACACTAAATAACCAGATGATTGTTTCATTTTGTCAGGGATAAATATGAAATAGCCACTACACTTTTATTTCCTTTTAAAGTTTACTGCTTTTCTAGACGGTGATGGCATAGGAAGTTTTAACCTTACACTTAAAATTGTCAACACTTTTTTCTTTGCCCTCTTGCTAAAATATAGTTTTGGGTTTTTTTGCCTGTACTTTCATCTTCCCTACTGTTTTCTATAGCCAGTACAACCATGCTGTCAGTTTCTTTCTTAATTTAGCCTTCCTTTTGTCTTTTTCCTTTTTATTTTTCTAAACAGTTTGGCTTCTTCAATAATCAAGCATTTGCACTGAAAACTTGGATAAACTTTCTGGTTCCTCTGTTGTAGTTACTTTCATGTCCTTTGAAATGTATCATTTTGGCTGAACTGTCAAGATTTCAAAACTTGCTGCCAACATAAAACCCTCTGGAGTCCCAAATATAGCAAGCAAAGAAAGGCATTTCCTTTATTGCCAACAGGGGGCAGTGCATGTCCACTCAACTGTAGGATTTTTACCTGCCTAACCAGAGAGAACAATGGATCGCTATAAAAGCAGCTTGCATTTAATACTGTATCATCTCCAATTTTTATTATTATTGGTTTACAAAAGGGCATGTGAAAAAATGGACTTTTCAGCAAAAGTTTTTGTCTCCAGTAATGAACAACCCCTGCTGGACTTAGTTTCAGTTTTTGTTTGAAATGGCTAGCAAAAAACAATAAATTAAAATGTAATATCAATTTGTTGTCCCATTCAACTCCATTTTTATTCTGAGCTTAGATGGAAGGTACTGACTGTATCTTCTTCATTGCTCTGCACTAAGGCATGGAAGCAAACACAGAAAGCTGTGTAGAGACTTGTATAGAATGAAGTGTGATCTGGAACAACTGCTTGTCTCTGCTTTGATGGCTATTTCTGTAACCATTATTCGTTATAACTTAATGTGTTACCTTAAAACTAAAATAAGAGATAAAACAACACTGAATCCTAACCACAAAAAGCTTAAAAGGGGTTAAAAAAACAGGTTAAAAATTATTTACAAACTTTGTGCTAATTGTGCACAAACCTGAATAAGGATGGACAAATACAAGCAGTCAATATCTGACACACCACCAAAAGAAGGGAATTCCATAAGGAGACACAACTGAATAGAGAACGAAGTATCAGTGGGCTGTTTCTTTTAAAAAAGCCCCTACACCCCCCCAAAATGACATCCCTTCTATAGAAAACAGATCAATGGTAATGCTAAAGGATTATACAGTAGTTCTTGTTTAGTGATTGCAATTGGGACCAGCAACTTGGTCTTTAAGCAAAGCAATTTCTATTGGGAGGGGGCATATGTAACTATGACTGTGCTTACAATGTCAGTTCAGCTTTTCTTTTTACAGCATCAGAAAATGACTCCAAAAAACCAGGTGACCCCAAACAAGTTTCTGGAACTTGACCCACAAGATGCTAGGTAAAAGAACACATCTTATTGCTTTCCCCCCATTCCACTGGCTTTTGAAATGCTCACACTGTAGAGTGTAGAGAATATTGATTATAGAGAATATTGGTGTTTCGTATTTACATTCACTGGAGATGAAGGGATCGCAAGAGAGTAAGGCAAGCACACAAAACATGGAATGAACTGGCATGAGCTGTTTGCTGAGCACACTTGCCATAAGCTACTTAGGAGCAAACAAAAGCCTTCAGTGGGAAACTGATTAGAGTCTTGTCAGTGACAAGCAGCAGCCCCAGAAGATTCTAATTAAGATTACAGAATGAATCTATTAACCTGAAATTAGCAATTTTTAGACACACATGCACTATGAAGAAAAGCACCTTAGGAAGAGATAGCTTTAGGCAATCTTTCAGCTGGGGAGGCGAGGGGAATGGGCCAGATAATACACACTAACTTATAATAGCAAATGAATACACTGAAACTGAGTTGGTGCAAAGGTTATAAATGCAGTCTTGATCGCAAAATTACTTTTTACCCAAGTACAAATGGTGGCTGTCAAAGCAGTAGCTAAACAAGGGCTACGGGTACATGGACTATTCAAAGTAATTTAGTCTGTTGCCTTTATTTGAGCTTTTACAGTTCATAAAACCCATTGCTTACACTATAGGGCAATCGTGTTAAAATAAACATGTCAAAAGATCACAGATGATTAAATAATAATTTATTAACAGTATTTTCACAAACATTCTAAAGAAAATTCAGAAGTCTCTAAACTTAAAATTTGCAAAGTATTCCTTTAAAAAAGCAAGGAGAAAAAATTATATCTTATAGATTTGTGTTTTGGGACATGTTTTTCAATTCCCGTTTTGAGTAAACCCCTCTTTAATGCTTACAGTACATATTCAATCCTCTTCTCTTGCCAAGAGAAAGTAATTGAACAAATTGATTTTTCACTTGTAAGTATGTAGAAGGGCACTAAATATTTTTCCCAAGCAACACATTTTCAACTTTTAACCTGATAGCAGTTTTGCAAATTCATTCAAGTTATTTTGGAATACATTGAATTCAAAACCCACTGTTCTCCAGAATGAAACCCACCATGCAGTACAATTGTTAGCATGCACTTCGGTGATTATTTTTGTACTCCACGGTATGTGTCTTCTCTGCCAACAAAGGGAGTCCCATTATGATTTGATTAAAATGTACTCAAACATTTTATGACATTAATATTTATTGCTTTATATGAATACTGTATTGAAAGCCCAAGCATCCAGTTTACACACAAATTATACAATTATATACCGTTTCACAATGGCAGTGAGCACTCTTTACAATCTACAAAAATCTACTTTACAGAAATTTAAAAATTCTAAATATCAAAAAGGTACAGTTGAAGAAACAGGTATAAATTTGGCAGCCAGTAAATGTGACTGGGAGGTTGTATTTTGAGTGTTTTTACACATCGATGTCTGAAAAATATAGTGTGACATATTTAAAGCAGTAATTGTGCTTTGAGCTGGTTTTGGAAAGGAAGTGTTAACACTGGCTGTCAAAGTGGCATGTTCAAAAATATTTAGTTCACTTTCAAAATAATGTACAAATGGTAGCCATTCAGTTCTGATACATAACTAAGACATGCAATGCTGCAGCATTTCATATCAGTCTGATCTCCTACTATAAAACCATTATGTAATGTCAGAAATTTCCTCAGTTCACAGAAACTATCTTGTCAGGTTTTCAAACATTCCTGCTACAAAAAAAAGCTGAAGATATTATTTTGAAATCTGTTCTCAAGAGAGTTTTTCAATAGTAAAATGGAAACCTATCTTCCAGGCACCTCAGAATGTAGAAAAAGTATTGTTTGAACAGAACTCTTGGAATGTATTTGACCTGGTACTTTCAACAACAATTGCATCTTTTAGGCTATCAGATGGGCCTAATTTTATTTGGTTTATTCAGGGGTAAAAATGTTTTCTTGAACTTGGTTGCTTCTGTCTGGAACAGAAAATGCATCTAAAGTGCAAACACAGATTTTCTTTAGATTTGTATATTATCAAGTATTTATTATATGCCAATGTGTAGCTTTTTCAAGCACAACATGTAGTCAAATGAAAATCTGTAAACCAACATGAAATTGAAGTGTTAAAAACCAAACCAAAAATTAACTGCTACAGCATTCAGGGGAATTAAAGGAAAGAGAGAGAAGTAATTAAATGTAGAATCTCCAAAAAATTGTCAGAATTAGAACTGCCTTCCAGTTTAAAAATTTTAATTGTAAATAATAAAAAACTATACACAGACCAGATTTGACCATACTGAAATTTCAGTGGCAAGCAGGACCTGAAGGATCCAATATTTCACAGTAACAAGTACAAGTCCTTCAGGATTTAACGCACTGAGAAGTTCAATTTACAGCCTGCTTCTCTTGCAAAAACTAATAGTCCACTTTTATTACATAAAATTATTTATACAGTGTAAAACCAGAGCCTCGTGGAAAATACTGCCTCTAAGCGTATTAAAATTATTAATCTTGTTCCATAGGTTCATCTGCAGCTTCATCGCTGTTTTCCACTGGGGTCTCTGATGCAATTTCAGGAGTTTCACTAATATTTGAGCCCAATTCTTCTTTGTCACTGCTGTCAGCTTTGGTACTAAAAGATCCACTGTTCTCACTATTTGGAGAAGATGAGTCTTTCATTTCTTGAGTCTGGTCAGATTCTCCAATTCGATTATTCTCCTCAGAAACATCTTCGTTCTCAATTAAGGAGGCACTGTCTTTGTCTATAACTTTTCTTTCTGGAAACACTTCTCTTGACATCATGAGAGATTCTGGAATATAAAGTTAGGACTATGTTATAAGGATGTTTAAAACAAAACACTATAGAAAGTTTATACAGGTAACCATCATGAAAATGCACCCCTTCTTTTCCTTTATGTCTCAACAGGTGACAGCATTTAGTTGACCTTACTTAGCTGAGAATGTATATGTTTTGGTTAGTTCTTATAAGGGAACCCTTGGGAACTCCAAGTCTATTGCCTAGATTGGAAAATTGGAGAGGTGAACCCTGTAAGGGAGTAATGGCAAACCAATCCTGTAATACTACCAAGAAAACTGCATGATGCAACCAGAAAGAGTTAAGATCATCTTGAGGGAGTCTTTATTTGTATGGGGAAGTACAATATCAATTAGAGATAGCAGGGAATGGTGCTGTAATCACAAGACATAGATGTGTATTTAAATGTCTCATTTTGAGTAACAAGCAAAATATTAGAATATATTTACAGGTAGAAAGATTGGCAGCCAGAAATGGATCATTATATTCTGCTGCTCCAACCAAAACATCCTATTCTCCCCATGATGATATAACGCTAAACTAAACCCTTGTTAATTTCTATACTTTAATGATATTACAAGATCAATTATGTGATACTTCAACTAACCAATTTAACAATCTCCAGTTTCAGGAGACCAATTCTGATACTACACATTATTTGTAGCTCCAGGTTGAACTGTGCAAACCTTGGTGCTGTCTGAGCTTGTTTCTTTGCAGACATTTCATTACTAAACTAGGCAACATCGTCAGTTCTAATGGAGTATGGAGTATTCGCTCATTTTATATACGGGTGGCTTGTCCTGTCAATGTTTGGAGTGGTCTTGGTGGTTCCTTGATTGGACTATTCGCTGTTAGCTTGTTTGGCAGTTCCTTGATTTTTTACTTCTTTATTGTTGGTCTAATGTTAATCTTGATGTTAATCTCTGCTGTTTTGGATGTTGATTGCTGATGAAGATTAGTCTGGGTCTTTTTGTTTCCTCTTTGATTGTCTGTTTTGAATGGCACGTAGATGTTATATGCTTGTTGATGGCTGATTTGTCTGAATGCCATCCAGGAATTCTCTGATATTTTTTGACTTGGCTTGACTTAAAATGGTCAGTTGCCCAGTTGAAACTGGTTAAGTCTGACCATGTGTTGTGAAATTGAGGGTGTTTTTATCATGTTTCTGACTGCTAGCTGGTGTTCATGAATGCAATCTACTAGTCTTCTGCCTGTTTGTCCTACATAGTGGCTATTCTGATACTACACATTAGTCCTTACACTGTATGTTGTAGAGACTCTTGCTTTTATTTCTAGGGCTGCTGGCCTTTTAAGTTTACTTAGAATATTCTGGAGGGCCTTAGTTGGTTTGTGTGCTACAATGCCATATGGTTGTAACAGACTATTGGTGATTTAGTAAGATATTTCTGATGTATGGCAGCGTTAATTGTTTCATAGTATGCATTGGTTGTGCTATATTGGATGGAGTGGCCAGGCACTTTTTGATGAAGTTTGGTTAGTTTATTACAACTAACTGCAAATTGTAGCAACTTGATGAAGTTGTATGGATATTTTGTTGGAAGATGTTGTATAGATGATCGGTATCCTTTTTCTGATGTTCAGGGATGCTACAGTGTATTTGTGCTTAACTACCGTGTTTCTCACAAAATAAGGCCGGGCCTTATTTTTTTTTTGACCCCCGAAAAAACGGCTAGGCCATCTTTTCGGGGGTGACTTAATTTCCCCCCCCTTGCATCCTCGGGCGGGCGGGCGGCGACAGCTTGGATGTTGACCTTGGCGTTGGTGGGGCACTTCGTATCGGGAGACCTTCCGCCAGGCAGGCAGCACCATATCCAGGTATGCAACAAAAGTACTTCCTAACGGCAAGCCCCCCCGCCATTCCCATTTCACATGTTTAATATAGGCCTTAATTTGGGGGAAGGGGCTTAATTTGATTTTATGCCAATAAAACATGCTGGGCCTTCCTATTGGTGGAGGCTGTATTGTTGGAGAAACATGGTACATAGTGCTCTTAAACACTTTCTCTTATGGGAGGTTGTGTTGTTACTTTGATAGTAGAGCACTCAGTTGTTGTGGGTAGACTTTTTGTTTCTAATTTGCCCTAATTGCCTCTGATGATGAAAATACCCAGAAAGGGTAGCATGTTATTTTCTTTTTCCTTTAGTTAATTTTATACATTTAAAGAGGTTTTTGATGATTTTGTGTGTTCTCTTTATTGTGACAAAGCAAGCCCCACCAACACTGATAAGTATATAACTATATATATGTGTACTTATATATGTATATAAAAAGAGGTGAAACCTCATTCCCTACTAGCACTCATGTTATATAGCTATATATAGCTAGCTAATGAAACATCTGCAAGAAAACAACCAAAACCCAGAAAGCACCAAGGACCCCACAATTTGCTAAATATCGCAGAGTTACAATGGCATGAAGGCAGAAGATTAAAAGTCAGTTTAGTGACCTTTTATGAATTAAAGTATATGGAAATGTCACTGCACAAAAATCAGCTATTTGCAATGCCGATTTACAAAATACAACACACATTCAAATCTGACCATTGACAGAAACAATGGAGTTCAATCTGAATTTAATACATAATCTGTGCAATTTCACTGTACTATCAAAACATAGTATGTTTATAGAGACGTCTTAGGAAGACCACTCCCAGGTCTTTCTCATTCTCATAACTAGGATACTTCAAACAAACTGGCATAACTTAAACAAAGTTGGATGCAGATCTTATTCTATATAGAAATGAATGGAATATATTACAACTAAATTATTATTTACTTATTATTAAATCTGATTGCAACTCACGGAGTTCAAAATAAATGATAAATGTAAATGTAAGCCATGTTTTAAACACCTATTCAGGGAATACATTTTCTACTGAAATGATATATACCTTCTTCCTCCTCAACTTCTTCTTTACAATGCTGTCTCTCTCCAACGGCTTCTTTTTCTTTATCCTGAGATGTAGATGTTGTCTCAGTCTCTTCTACCATTGCTGAGCAAGCTTCATGGGAACCAGTCTGGTTGGAGGTTTCTTCAGCTTCCTCCTCTTTGTCAAATTTAAGTCTTTTTACTTCATAGCCTTCCATTTCTGATGGATCTTCCCCAGGGTGTTTATTTTTTACAGGACAGTTTTGGACTCTTTCAGGCTCAGATGCTGGCAATTCACTAAAAGACAGAAAAATAATGGAAACACAAAGGATCATATTTTCATATGAAGAGATAAAGCAGGGATATTGCCTCTTAAGTAATCAATCCTATTGATTTGGATAACTTCTACCGCTTTGCCTAAATATAACTATATTAAATGTTTTGATATACACCAAGTAACTATTCTTGCAATAAAGAAAACAAAGTTTTCATACAAACCAATTGTGCCAGCATCACCATTCCAATTCAACTGGGATATCTTGTTTAAAATAAAAGAAAATCTTGTTTTAAGTAAAATGGTGCTCACAATGTATGAGAAATTTGGTTCTTTATAATCAATGGATACAATCCAGTATTGGTGCAAACAGATTGTTTTTGCTTGTATAATAAAAAAAAAATCCTTTCTCCTGTCTGCGGCCTGTTAAATCCCTACTGAATTTTTAAGAACACAAGGGATATATATAGTCAATTGCTACTTCTCAATTCCCATAGCCGGAACAAATTCCCTTAGCTGAATTTTATTTTACATGTCATTGACATTTAATTTCCCACAACAGATTATGATCTAAGTATTCACACTGATTTTAAAGATCAACAACTGAGGTACTCTAGGATACATTATTTATACACATCCTACAGTATCCTAATGTAGTGAGTATTTATGCATTAAGACTTTTAAAATAAGAAAGGAATAGTTCATGCCCACATGAAATCTGCCTGAAAAGAGGTTGTGCTTATTTTCATTTTGGTGAACATTATTTTTCAAGCATTAACAGAAAATACAGATAGCCCTTGACTCAACGACAATTAGGTTTGGAATTTCCATTGCTAAGTGATGCAATCATAAAGCGAATCATTGTATGACTTTATTGCTTAGCAACTGAAAGTCTGGCAGTCTGGCTGTTATAACTCTAAATGAGTGGATCATTAAGTTGGGGGGTGGGGGGGGGGCAATGTGAAATGAGCATAGGTAGGCCAGGAAAATAATACACTGCAGCTCAGGGAATTTCTTGTGGGAGTTTCTTGGCCTGAAAGAAACCTCTGAGCACACAAAGTCACACCCACAGTCGACCCAGCCTGGCCATTAGTGTGGCGCAAAACCACTGTATCCCAGGAAATCTTGACCACTGTGTTCCACAGGCCCTGCTGTTCCCAGATGATCCTTGCAGTTTTCTTGCCACAGCTGAGATGTGCCCGGACTGACAACTACTGTATCTAAGACAGGTGCTGGCCACACTAGGCCTTCTTACAAAGTCGCTTGTGTTGTTCTCCAAATTGTGATTCATTCTCCAAGTAGCTGTCATAACGCTTTGGAAAGCTTACAGAAAACTTCGGAGGTCTTCCCTAGGCCTTGTGAGAACGGGTCTGCTATTTAAAGAATGGAGGGCACACACCTCTTTCCTGTGATGCTTCAAATACCACAAAGGCTTTCTGAAGACTTTCCAAAGCACTCCAAGAATGGACTGTTTTATTTGAAGCATATGTGGCGTGCATGACTTGGAGAAATGATGCGAGCGGCCATAAAAACAAAAGGCTTGTTGCGAGCAGGCCAAACAGGCCTCATCAGTAGCTGGAGGAAAGTGTGAGCACAGGGGAACTGCGGCTTTGAATGGTGCTGGAGTTGAAGCGCCTCTGAGGTTAATAAGTACTGGTGGGCTGTCAATCACCCAAATTTTAATCTTTGGATCTAAGGTTGTAAATCCCTTGGTTCAGTGCCACTGTTCACATTGGACACTCACTGAAGAAATGGTTTTTAGATTGAGAAACTTTTTTTTGCTTTTTCTTAATATGGCATGTTTTGATAGAACTAAAATGTAAAATTTTCAAGGGAGAATGTGCTTAAAAAATAAAATATTAATCTCAAGAGCACATTTGAAAATATATTTCTTTTACAAACCTGTTAATTTTCTCTTCAGTTTGCAGGAGGCCCAGCTCCTTACTTTCGGAACTGTCTGGTAAACCATTTGTAGTCATAGGAGGTGACAGAGAAACTTTTGGTCGAGTTACAGGCCGGGGTGTCCCAGGACCATTTATATTAGATCTGCAAAGGAAATATTTAGTCAAATCTGGAAAGCCAAATTTCTCTTAGATCCATATCTGTCTGTCTGTCTGTCTGTCTGTCTGTCTGTCTGTCTGTCTGTCTATCTATCATTATAATTATTATTATAAATGGACTTCTGCCAGTTGTTTAATAATGAAAGTCATATAATTTTTCCCAACAGTACTGAAAAACTATTCAATAATACAAAATACTTCCATATAATCAAAGTATAACATTAGTATAACAAAGTATAACTTAAGTAATCTATTATCTATCTATCTATCTATCTATCTATCTATCTATCTATCTATCTAT